AATATAGTGTTGCTATCTTACCTCTTTTGGATCCTTCGTAGAAATAGAAAGTTGTTCGTTTACTAAAGTAGGGAATTAAATTATTTAGGATGAATATATCGTCTCTTCTTGCATGAAGACAGATGTGAAACTCCCAGTGACTGTTTTCGTGAGTTACCTTCAGCTCTCCGTGGGAATACCGCATTTTCTGTTTTTTGACTTATTTGGTAGCGATCGGAATCGTACACTGGAACCCTCCAGTTCAACTGCCTGGTTCCACAGGAAGGGAGTGGGGAGCCGAAGGCCCGTCAGGCACACCTTGGGATTTCCAGGTAAGCCAGTCTGCCTACGCGCGGCTTCGCCTTCACCTGCGTGGATCGCTGGAGCCGGTGAGAACGCGCCGCGGGAGGGGCCGCCGGGCCCACAGAACCGCACGCGGCCGGCGCCTGGAGAGCGGGCTCGGTGCACTGCTCACCAAGTGGGCAAAGTCTGTGAAGATGGTTTATTCAGAAGGGGTGGCTCCCGGACTCACTTCAGCGCAGAGCTTTGCAGAAAGGGGCGGACGAGAGCGTGACCGTGGGCCCGTAGAGGTGCGGCCTCCTGAAGCCCAGCTCCGGCCAGCAGTGGCAGGTGCGCGCCGCCCTCCACGCCCGTGAGGACCGGGCGAGCCGTCGGTGGCGGGAGGGGGCGCGCCCAGGAGACCGCCCGACTCGGGGGAGCCCGCGTGGTCGGCCAGTTAAGAGATCCTTTGGTCTTTCCCCTTAAAAAGGAAAAAGGACCACAAGAGGAAAAAGGACAATATTTTCACTAGCAAGGCTTCCTTGGTCGGGGGAACTTGGGGAGGGGCTATAGTTCTAACCGGCGTCTTTCAGACAAATCTAAGTTGTTAAAATTAAGTTTTTATTTGTAATTGAAGTACAGTTGACATATGATACTAGTGTCCGGGGTGCAACACACTGATCTCACGTGACCCGGACTGGAAACGCTCGCCGACAGCGTGGCCGCGTGTGTCCCGCTCAGAGCACGCGGGCGGTTGACGCGCTCCTGCGCGGTAGCTGCTGCCTGTCGGTGGGACCCTGTACCCCTCACCCTCCTCGGCGCGTCCCCCTGGTTCTGGAAAAGAGTAATTCCAAGGGAAGAATTAGGCGACCTTCTTGTTTTCCTTTTTTACTGGATCAGTATTGTTTTTGCGAAAGTAGTTTTTCCAGGATGTTTTGCAACGGAAGTTCCCCGTAGTCCTGTTGGGCGGGAGGGGCCCCTGCCCCTGCCCCTGCCCCGGGGCCACTGCTGGGCGCCCACGGGGACGGGACACTTGTCACTAGGTGGCGCCTCCGCTGGAGCTCACCCGCCTCGGGGAGGGGAAGGGAGCAAACCCCACTCCAACTGCCTGGGGCTGCGGGGAGAACTGCCCCTGCGTGGTGGCCCTCCTGCCGGGACGAGGCGCTCACGGAAAGCCACCGGATCGTTTTAAAGAGAGCACAGTGTAAACACGGGCCCCAAAAGGTGTGTGTGTGGGGGGGAGGACGGGGGGGGGGGTCCCATCATAGTATCTGCTATCTCTGCACTTCGTGTTCCTGAAGAAACAGCTAGGGAGACAGAGACAGAGACAGAGACAGAGACCAGAGACACAGAGAGACAGAGAGAGACACAGAGTCAGAGAGACAGCAGAGACAGAAACACAGAGCAGAGACACAGAGACAGAGACAGAGAGATACACAGAGCAGAGAGACAGAGGGAGACACAAAGCAGAGAGACACAGAGACACAGAGTCAGAGAGACAGCAGAGAGCCAGACAGAGAAACACAGAGCAGAGAGATGCAGCGACAGAGACAGAAACAGAGACAGAGAGACAGAGACAGAGAGAGACACAGACACAGAGACACAGAGACACAGAGAGAGGACACAGAGACAGAGAGAGATACACAGAGCAGAGAGACACAGAGACACAGAGTCAGAGAGATAGCAGAGGGACAGAAAGACAGAGAGACACAGCAGAGAGACAGAGAGACACATTCAGAGCAGAGACAGAGAGAGACACACAGAGCACAGAGAGACACAGAGACAGAGACAGAGATACACAGAGCAGAGAGACATAGAGACATAGAGAGACAGAGCAGAGAGAGACACAGAGCAGAGAAACACAGAGACACAGAGCAAAGAGAGACACAGAAACAGAGAGATACACAGAGCAGAGAGACAGAGAGACACAAAGCAGAGAGACAGAGACACAGAGTCAGAGAGACAGCAGAGACAGAGAAACACAGAGCAGAGACACAGAGACAGAGACACAGAGTCAGAGAGACAGCAGAGACAGAGAAACACAGAGCAGAGACACAGAGACAGAGACACAGAGTCAGAGAGACAGCAGAGACAGAGAAACACAGAGCAGAGACACAGAGACAGAGACAGACAGAGACAGAGAGACACACAGAGACACAGAGCACAGAGATACACAGAGCAGAGAGACACAGAGACACAGTCAGAGAGACAGCAGAGGGACAGAAGGACAGAGAGACATAGAGCAGAGAGACACAGAGACAGAGACAGAGAGACACTGACAGAACAGAGAGACAGAGACACAGAGCACAGAGAGACACAGACAGAGACAGAGAGATACACAGAGCAGAGAGACATAGAGACACAGAGACAGAGCAGAAAGACAGAGACAGAGAGACACAGACCAGAGAGACACAGAGACACAGAGCAGAGAGATAGAGAGCAGAGCACAGAGACAGAGACATGGAGACATAGCAGAGACAGAGCAGAGAGAGACACAGCAGAGAGACTAAGAGACAGAGAGATACACACACAGAGTGGAGACACTGAACAGAGACAGAAAGACAGAAACAGCAGAGACAGAAAGTGAGACAGGACAGAGACAGAGACAGACTGGACAGCAGGACACGCAGGCGAGGTCTCCGGCTGCCCCTGCCGCCCAGGCCTGGTCCCGGAAGCCCTCGCAGCCCCGCAGCCCCGCAGCCCTGCCTTCTGGAGCGGGGCCGGGAGCACCTTTCCCAATCACATCCCCGACTTGGAGGGCGGCCAGCTGTTGCCCAGAAAGCGCCAATGAAATGGGAAAGCGCGCCATTGATTGATAATACATTTTACAAGAAAAAAAAATGGCAAAGGAGATGATAGGCTGTGGCAGCCTCGCAAATGCGCTGCCCGAATCCCCGAATCCCGGGCAGGGCCCCGACACTTGGGGGAATGCGGCCTCGGGGGCGGTGCCCGGGGCGGGGGTCCCCGGGGCAGGGGCACGGGCAGGGGCAGGGGCAGGGGGGTGCCCGGGGCAGGGGGGCGGCGACGAGGGGGCCGCGGGCCGGGGGCCGTCCTGGGCGGCGCGGGGCTCCCCGAACCCGCCTCCGATCGACTTATTAAATGCCGAGGCAATCAGGCGGCTCCTTTTTTAATAGCCCAAGATCTACATTTAGACAAAAACAGATCTGAGTTCCTGGTAAAGGCGTTTCTTCTCATCTTGTCACAAGTGACAGGAACGGAGGGAAACAGAACGAGGGAGGGGAGGGGGAGGGGGGAGGGGGAGGGGAGGGGAGGCGGGATGACGGAGCAGGAGGCGGGGAGGGAGGGAGGGAGGGAGGGAGGGGGCGGGGGCGGGCGGGCGGCAGGGGGAGGGGGCGGCGGGGCGGGGGGGCGGGCGGGGATCCGCGCGGGCCTCGAACACCCGAGCGGCCGCTAATTAAAGCCCGCGGAGCCCTCGGGGACCGGCCTGACGTCGGCGGGCGCGGGGATAAGAGGCGGCGGCGCCCGGCCCGGCCCGTCCCCGTCCCCGTCCCGGTCCCCGGCCCCGGCCCCGGCCCCGGCCCCGGCCCCGTGCGGTCCCCGCTGCGGCGCTGCGCTCCGGCCGGCGCGGGCCATGGACTAGCGGGGCCAGGACGCCGCGCTCCCCGCCGGCCCGACGCGCAGGTGCCCCGCGCAGGTGTGAGCCGCTGCCCCGCCGCGGGCGCCAAGGGTCTGGGGGGGCGGGGGCGCGGGGGGCGCAGGGGCGCGGGGTCCGGGGCGCGGGGTGCGGGTCCGGGGCGGGGGCGTCCGGCGCACAAAGGCGGCTGGAAACTTGAGCGCAGCCGCCCGGCGGGGCGCGGCCCCCACCCACCCACGGGGAGCGCGGGGCCGGGGCCGGGGTCGGGGTCGGGGCCGGGGCCGGGGCAGGGGCAGGGGCAGGTCGGGCGCGGGCAGGACCCCGCGGGGCGCCCCCGTCCCTCCCCTCCCCTCCCCTCCCGTCCCCTCCCGCCGGGGCCCCCGCTCGCCGCGCGGCTCGGAAGGTGAAGAAAGTTGAGCCGAGGCGGCGCGCAGCCAAGTGCCGCGTCTCCCCGAAACTTGGAAAGGTCGGCGGGGCCGGGGGCGCGGGGGCGCGGGGGGCCTGGACCGGGTGGCGGGGACCGGCCGGGGGGCGCGGGGACTGGGTGGCGAGGAGGGGCGCGGGGGGCGCAGGAGGCGCGGGGAGGGGCGCGGGGCCGGGCGGGGGTCGGGGACCCAGTGGCGGGGCCGGGGCGCGGGGAGGGGCGCAGGGGGCGCGGGGTCGGGGCGCGGGGTCGAGGCGCGCGGGGCGGCGGGTGGCGGGGACCGGGCGGGGGGGACCTGGGCCGGGCGGGGGTCGGGGGCCCAGTGGCGGGGCCGGGGCGCGGGGAGGGGCGCAGGGGGCGCGGGGGTGGGGCGCGGGGTCGGGGCGCGCGGGGCGGCGGGTGGCGGGGACCGGGCGGGGGGGACCTGGGCCGGGCGGGGGTCGGAGGGGCGCGGGGAGGGGCGCGGGGCGAGGGCCGGTGTCCTCGGCGCCCCCGCCCGCCCGCCCGCCCCGACCCGCGCCCGTCCCCGTCCCGGTCCCCGCAGGCCGCGCCGCCCGCCGCGAGGAGCGCAGGATGCGCGGCCCGGGGCTCCCGCCGCTGGGGCTCCCGCCGCTGGGGCCGCCGCTGGGGCTGCTGCTGGCGCTGCTGCTGGTGCTGGGGGCGGCGCGGCCCGGGGGCACGGAGCCCGGGCAGGCGGCCGCGGGGCGCTCGCTGCTGCGGCTGGTCGTGGAGATCCTGCAGGAGCTCAGGAAGGCGCACGCGGGCGAGGCCAAGCGGCTGCACGGCCCGGGCCTGGGCCGCCGGGAGCTGTCGGAGTCGGACGGCGCGGGGCGCCCCCTCCCCGAGGAGCAGAGGGTCGGTGAGTCCCGCCGAGGCGCCCGCGGGGACCGGGCCTGGGACTCGCGCTGCCGGGGGACACGCGCCTGTCTTGGCAACCTAGAACCATGCCGACTGTTTGCAAAAAAGGAAAAAAAAAAAGAGGCGATTTTTGTTTTAAAGAAGGAAGAAAATGGGAGGTGGGTGAATGGGGAGGCCCGGCCTAGCGCGGTCCGCACCGCCGGGGCCTCCGAGCGGTCACCTGGGTCGGGCGCTTTGGCACAGAGCTGTCAGCTGTTATTTTGGAAATGGAAATATTTTCAGCAAAGCACTTTCAACTGAGACAGAAACGTTTCGGGGCCGCCCCCCTCGCCCCCACTCCCCCGCCCCTGGCAGAGCCTTCCCAGAGTGGGTGCCTCCTGGGAAACGTCCAGGGAAAGCAGGAGAGCTTTTAATGCTTTCCTGACACAATTAGGTCAAATGTGATAAGGTCAGTTTTATACAGACTGACACTCAGGAGAGTGAGGTTCACAGGAGACAGGCCCTCCTGAGACGAGGAGCCTTTGTGGCCAGGGAAGGCGCGTGCACACGCAGCCCCAGCAAAGTGAGCATCCAGAACGAGCGAGCGGAAAATGGTTACAGGTGACTGCAAAAAAAAAAAAAAAAAAAGAAAGAAAGAAAAGAAAAGAAAAAAAGAAAAAGAAAGAAAGAGAAAAAAAAGAGAAAAAAGCAAGCACAAAGCCTGGAATCAGAGGAGGTCTGTGGGAGCCCTGCTAGTTCCCAAGTAGAAACACAACTGTCTTTCGGGAATCTCACTTTAAAACCAGGTGATTGTCTATTTGCCTGCATGCACACCAGCCTTCATAACAGGTGGTTGTGAAGGCATTTAATCCGTTTTCTAAATATAGACCTAGAAAAAAAGCAGTTTTATAACGATTTTTGGTTTGTTTGAAGCATCGGGTTTGTTTTCATTCTAGGACTTTGAGAGCTTGTGGGATCTGCCTACCAAGCTGCCCAAAATGCAAATGTCTGTCCACACGCGCACACGCACACGCACACGCACACGCACACACACAGCCCTTCACCCTTACGTGACTTCACGGTCGCTGTCTTCGTGCCAGTGGCAGAGACAAGTAATACTGAAGCTCTGGGAAGAGCTAATATTCTGTCTGAATAAAAATGTGCTCCCGATGACGAATCTTCACATTATGTCCCATACAACGGTCGCGGGGGCTCCAGCCTGTTGTATTTAGTGCGTTGCCGCGTGGCTAATGCAGGGTCTGCAACGCCTTTCTTTGACATTCCCTCCGATCTCATGGGGAAAAAAAAATGCTTCTAGCAAGCCGTGCGAGAATTAACCTCTTTCCCTTCAAACAGAAATTGTTCCTCGAGATCTGAGGATGAAGGACAAGTTTCTAAAGCACCTTACAGGTGAGTGTCCTCATCCCGTTACCTGCGTCCGGGTCCCGCGTCGTGCGAGCGCTCACCATCGGCTTCCTTCGTTGCAGGCCCCCTTTATTTCAGTCCCAAGTGCAGCAAACACTTCCACAGGCTGTACCACAACACCAGGGACTGCACCGTCCCCGCATGTAAGTGCGCCGTCCCCGCGGCCTCCCGCTCGTCCCCCTGGCTCCCGCCTGCCCATACGCGCTCCCTCCTAACGACGCAGCGAGGGTCGGGGTGACCAGACCGCAGCAGAAGGCGGCCGCGTTCTGCAGCAGCTAGTGCCAAATGGAAAATTATTTACATTCGCTGGAATTAATCATGTCTTGGAGTGGGCCGAGCTCCTCCATTCACATTCTTGTTCTGTTTATGAATTCTGGCCTGATGTCGTCTATATTTGTATCTGCTCAATGTGACAAACAAGCGTCAAGAATGAGTTGCTAGGATGACTACCGCGCACTGGAATGGTCCGGGGTGGACCGAGTCTGCGGGCCGGGGCCCCCCAGCCGCCCTGGACGCGGCTCCCCCGCTCGGCCTCACCGCCGACCCGGAAATGCACACTTCCCCTCGGTCCAGCCTCAGCGCAGCGTTCTGATGGTTTCCCTGTGCAGAATGTATTTTATTTCCCGCAGCTTAGCGGCTGCTGTGCTCTTCATAAAACGTGTAGTGCTGGCAGGTGACACGCTAGCTGGAGTGACAGTGGTTAGAGCCCCAAACCCATTTTTGTGTGACTTTTATCTCACGGGAGGCCCACAGGAGGGACGCTAGCATCCTGCCAGCTGCCTTCGGGGACCGTCCACACCAGGCTGCCCTGCCCCGATTTCAAAAAAAAAAAAAAGAAAAAAGAAAAAAATCAGCCACTTTATATGAAGTGCAAGTTTTTCTGCTGAGGCAGCAGAGTCGCCCCCAAATCGCCGCCGCTGCCGTGTGTGCGGCTCCTCGTCCAGGCGTGTGGTGAAGGTGGCCGGGGACACGGAGCTGGGTGCCCACCTGGGGGCCCTCGCCGCGCGGCTCAGCCCTGGGAGGCCGCCGCACACACGTCCCACGGAGCTAATTTTATTTTGTGAGCTCCGCTGTAGCCCACCCGGTCGTCCATGCCCAGTGCACCTGGCACGTGGCTGTTTCCCGCTTCTGTCTGAGAGTTAATCATCATCCCAGGGGCCAGAGCCCCTTCTCATGTTTATTGTTTCAATGTGCACAGATATATATATATTTTTAAAGACTTTATTTATTACTCATGAGAGAGAGGGGGGGGCAGAGACACAGGCAGAGGGAGAAGCAGGCTCCATGCAGGGGGCCTGACACGGGGCTCGATTCCGGGTCTCCGTGGCAAACTGCTAGAACCTGGGGCGTCAGCACTGAAAGGCGCCCAGCCCCCCCCCCCCCCCCGCGGTGTGGTCCCCAGGGGGCCGTGCGAGAGCAGGAGTCTGACGTCTCCCCAGACTCCCCGGACCAGGTTAGGGGTGGGGAACACGTGGTCCCGTGGACTCCTGCAAACAGCAGCACTTACCCTGCCCCCCTGCACCCGGGTGTGCCATGGACAGTCTAGGGGAGCCGCCTCCCGAAGTAGTGGGGCCACCGGGGGGACAGAGGAACCGTCAGGAATCCAGGTGACCCGGCCTCCGGCTCTTGGAGCTCTTTCTCCCCCTTTGCACACAAACCATTACGTCCCCTAAATATTTAGGGGCGCTGTTCGCAGGAGCAGGATTAGCGGCTTGTCTAACGTGCCGGCGAACCCGCCGTCGTCAGTCTGCTCGCTCATTCGGAATTTCAGTCGAGGGCACGGCCTCCTACGTAGGACTCGGAGGCTCTTGAGCAGCAGACCGTAGCGACTCACGCGCTGCAGTAGCTTTCCACGGGACTCGCCGCGGAGGCTCCTCGTGGCCACGAGCACCAGGCCTCACTGGGTTGCCCTGAGGTAGCCAGCGTGGAATTCTTTAATAGGAAACTGGGTGAGATGGCGAGGAAAGTCCATCCGGACTGAGGAATTACCTGCTGCCTTGCGCCATCCACCCAGGTTCTTTTTTTTTTTTTTTTGAAGACTGTATTTATTTATTCATGAGACACAGACAGAGAGGCAGAGACCCAGGCCGAGGGAGGAGCAGGCTCCCTGCGGGGACCCCGACGCGGAACTCGATCCCAGGTCCCCAGGGTCCCGCCCTGAGCCCCGCAGGTGCCCCCCAACCAGGTCTTTCTGCTCTGACTCGATTGCTGACCCGTTTCCTTAGACCTGGGGGGTCTGTGTGGGGCCGACCCGGGCGGGGGGGGCCCTGCGTGCAGCCTCCCCACACGGCCTGCAGTCGCGCGGCGCCCTGGCCCCTGGAGAACCGCGGGTCGGCAGATCATGGGCCCCCGTGCCCGGCCAGGCTCCGCAGGGCTCCCGGGGTTCGGGGCACCTGAAGAGGGAGGGCGCAGGCGGCTCCTTGGGGGGCAGCCTGGGGTGGCCGCCGCGCTGAGGCCCCGCTGTTCCACCGCAGACTACAAGCGATGCGCCCGGCTCCTGACCCGGCTGGCCGTCAGCCCCGCGTGCGTGGACGGATGAGGTAAGTCGGGCACGGTCGGGACACCGCGGCCCGCGGGCCTCTGGACACACTCAGTCTCTGGCTCCCGGGGCCTGCTCTGCGGAAGGCTGACACCCCCAGCACCCACGGGCACCCACGGGAGCGCCCCGTCCCATGCTCGCCCGGTGCCCAGGTGCAGGCCTGCGGCCCGGGGCCACACGTCCGGGAGTCCCCGCGGCCCTGGGGCTGTGCATCCCGAGCTGGGCTCGAAGGCCACGCCGGGGCGGGCGACGGGGGCCAGAGCGGCAGCGGCTCCCACGGGCCCGCCCACGCTCACCTGGCTCCCCGTGGCCCCGGAGCACCCACCCTGTCCACCCAACGCAGCCCTGCCCACACGCATGAGGGCAGGCGCCCAGGCCCCGGGGTGACCCTTCCCACGGTCTGGGCGCCCCGCTCGGAGAACGCAGGCTGTTCTCGGCTGTGGGTCCCGCCCACGCGCGACAGAGGGAGAAAGGCCGGGGGGCGGGTTGTCGGGGTCGCCGGGGTTGCGAGGGCCGTGGACCCGATGGAGGACCCACGTGCACCTGGGGGGGCGTGTCCCGACGGCAGGTGGCAGCCCGGCCGGGCGTCCCCGCGCAGAGCCCCACGCGACACAGGCCCCTGCGACCCTGGGCTCTGACCCGGGAGGCCACATAATCTGACGTTCGATTCTCTTCGAGAATTGCTGAGAGAGCGCGGACTCACAAACCACGTGTGTGTTTTTCAGCGGTGAGCGGAGCACAGGACCCCGAGCCCACGACCCACGAGAAGTGCCTTGAGGACCAACGGGAACGGAGCCTGCCGCCTGCGTGCACACGTCGCCTCCACAAGAGATTTATTTTTGCAGACAGACTCTCCTTTACCCTGAGTTTTGTGGCTGCTGACCCTGTCGGCACAGTCCGTGAGCACATCGGAGGGCGACGCCTGCCGGGCGTGATTTTGGGGGAAGAAGCAGACGCTCCACACTTGAGGCGTAGTGCGCTGGAAAATGACAAAGCTACTTCATTTTCCTGATTAGGTGAAATCTCAAAGAGTATTTCTTTAGAAACATAGAGTCTGAAACTATATTTTCATATAGCATATGGTATGATTTAATATTTTTGTTACTTTTACAATTAAATTCCCAGAGTATTATTTGGAACTGCATGAATAAACAACAACAACAACAAAAAACACCCACAAAATAACCACCTTGTCATGCTTTGGAGGCAGTGGAGTGTGAGTCTGTGAGCGTACCCGGGCTGACGTGGCTCGTCCCTTGTATGATAAGTGTAAGATAGCATCCGGATGCTGTGCAATATGTAAATGCTGTACATACAAGTAATAAATGTTTGTTATAATGACGTCTCGAAAGCGACTCTTCACTTCCCACGAGCTCACCAGTGAACGACGCGGACGTCCTCACGCTGCCAGAGCGTCCCGGAATGGAGAGGCATAAACACGGAAAAGGGGAAGGCCGTGAATTCTTGGAAAGGACAATTAAATGGGCTTTTTTTAAAGGGGCCGCTAGGCTGGAACGGTGGCCTGTCCCAAGGCAGAGCCTGAAACGGCGGCAAATATTTAAACGAGGCCGCGTCCGTGTTTCCCCGGGTCCGAGGTCCCGCGAAGGCCGGGACGTAGCACTGCGGAGCAGCCCTGACGCTCAGAGGCCGTGTGCCCGGAACATCCGACCGCGCGTGGCCCGGAGTTCTGCCCGCAGGAGCTGCAGCCCGGATGCGGCCGTGAGGACGATGGGGGGGGGGGGTCACGGGACTCCAGGAGGAGCCTGGGTCCGTCCCTGAGCTGCGGGTGCAGACCGCGGGGTACAGGTGACGGGGACGGACTCAGGACCTGAAGGACAGCATGACGCCACCCTGGGGTCCGCAAGCGACGGCCGCGTGAGGACGACGGAGCATGACCCTGAAGTGCGCGCAGTCCTACTTCCAAGGCTGCCTCTCCCACCGCCGTTCTCTTCGGAGCCACCCCCGGGGCCTGGCCCGCGGAGCCACAAGGCCCCTAGGTGCCCGAGGAAGACTCGTGAGGAAATGCCCGGGGACACACGGCCGGCGGGGAGGGGGCAAGGCCACCCTGCTCCTGCCCCTGGGCTCCCGCCCCGCCCACCCAGACACCAGGGGCGCCGCTGCTGCTCCTCTACTCTCCCGTCCCGCCCCCTGAGCAAGGGTCCGCGCGGGCTCTGGATGAAGAGGGACCCGCGCCGGGGGTTCTCCAGGGTTCCAGCCCCAGCTGTGCCCCGGGTGGAGACCGGGAGCCGCGCCCGGAGACACGGCCAGGGCCACAGGCGGGGGACCGGCCGGGACACGTGAGGCTGCGGGGCCCAAACTTCCTGCACAAAGAAGCGGAAGCAACGTGCTGGTTTTATCGCTTTATTTCCTAACGTGCACGTACAACATCGCAGGTCGTCTGAGAGGAGGGTGGAAGGCATTATCTTCTGACTCTTCACTTACCAATAAAAAAGCAGGTGGACACATACTTCTTGGCTGCATTCTTATTAATTTCCCCAGTTTATTTGAAAATCATTTTTCTGCCATATACCCGTATGAATTTTTTTTTAATGATTTTATTTATTCATGAGACTCAGAGAGAGGCGGAGACACAGGCAAAGGGAGAAGCAGGCTCCCTGTGGGGAGCCCGATGCGGGACTCGATCCAGGGACCCCGGGGTCACGCCCTGAGCCGAAGGGAGATGCTCGATCGCTGAGCCCCCCAGCGGGCTCAGGGGCCCTGTGTGAATTTTAGTTGTCACAAAGTGCACAGAAATGACCCGTTTTGTCTATAGATTAATCACCCATCAAAGGATACTTAATGTATCAATACTTAAGTATTCCAACATGAAAGAACTTTCTGCAAATTTGTAACTCTTTTTCCCACCTAAGCTAACTTGTACTTGACATCTGGGTCCCGGCGGGAGTCGGTGAGAGCAGCCAGCACCGCGTCCTGCTTTCCGGCTGTAATTACATTTCCAGACGTGAAGTGAAGTGGTTTGAAAGGAACCAAGCGACTCCCTCATGAAATACAGCAGCAGGTGTCAGAGCCTCTGAGGGTGCAGTGCACCCGGTGAGCAGGGGTGAGCGGGGGGGTGAGCAGGGGTGAGCGGGGGTGGGTAGGGGTGGGCTGGGGTGAGTGGGGGGTGAGCAGGGGGTAGGCGGGGGTGAACTGGAGTGAGCAGGAGGTGGGCTGGGGTGAGTGGGGGTGAGTAGGGGCGCCAGCAGGGGTGGGTGGGCATGAGCAGGGGTGAGCAGGGGTGCGGGTGGGCAGGTGTGAGCGGGGGTGAGAGGGGTGAGTGGGGGTGGGCTGGGGTGAGCGGGGGTGTGGGGGTGAGCAAGGGTGTGGGTAGGGGTGGGCAGGGGAGAGGGGGAGTGAGCTGGGGTGAGCAGGGATGCAGGGGGGTGGGCTGGGGTGGGTGGAGGTGCGGGCGGGGGCTGTGGCGGTTGGCTGGGGTGGGCAGGGATGTGGGTGGCCTACACAGCCAGCGGGGGAGAGCAGGGGTGGGTGGGGGAGAGCGGGGGTGGGTGGGGGTACCTGGGGTGGGCAGGGGTGTGGGCAGCCTGCACAGCTGGTGGGGGAGATTGGGGGGGTGACCCGGGGTGTGGGCGGGGGTGACCCGGGGTGGGCGGGGGTGACCCGGGGTGGGCAGGGTGCGGGTGAGGCCCTGGCAGGAGAGGCTATGCCAAGGGGCGGGCGTCCCCGTGGGAACAGGGCCGTGTGCTCGGCGGCCTGTGGCTGGGGGCGGCGGGAGGGCGGCCTGGCGCGACAACAACACTTGGCACCGCAGACACCGCGTGGAGGAAACCCCTTTATTGCGTGTGGGGCCCCAGGAAGCGCAGGCCCGCGGCGTCAGCGCACCTTCTCCAGGAAGGCCCGGCAGCACCTGGCGCACTGCTGGTACACGGCCTCGAAGTCCGACTCGCTGCCCTGGAAGCACAGGCGGGTCACCACGCGGGCCCACGGTCGCCAGCGCGCGCCAGGGGAGCGGCAGGTGTACTTACGTAGTACGGGTCCTCGATGATGAGCTGGTTCTGCGGGTCGTAGCTCCCAAGGAGTTCGATTTTAGCTCTGCAGTTTCTAACCTGATTACTCTTTCTAGTCAAGTCTCTGTAAAATTGAAACACGAACTTAGTTTCCTGATCCGCGGCGTCAGGCGGAGCTTCAGGGACCAGCCCCTCGACACCCGGCGAGCCACCTGGCTTAGGAGGAACCAGGCTGGGGGCGGAGCGGCGTGACCCCAGCGCCGGGCTGAGCCACTGCAGCCTGCGCAACCGGAGTCAGTGACCGCGTCCTGCGGGGACATGCCGCGGGGACGATGACACGGGAAAGCAGTGACCCAGACGCCGCCGCAGCGGGGAGGCTGTGGAGCCCAGTCCCAGGGTGCCTGCCCCCGCCCCACCTCGGCCCTGCCCCGTCTGTGCCCACCCCCACCGCCCCCACTCAGGCCCCACCCCACCGAAGCCCGTCTGCGCCCACCACTCCCCACCCTCCCTCGCACCCACCTCCCGTCTGCGCCCACCCCCACTGCCCCCCAGCTGAACAACAGTCCCACCGCCCCCGCCCGCCCCCACTCAGCACTGGTGGTGCGGTGCAGAGGCAGCTCCTCAGCATCTGCATCCTCCCCCACATGGTTAGCGACCTCCACGGAGCACCCAGGATGTCACCCTGTGCCCCGGGACACAGCGGGCCAGGCCTCCGAGCAACACGGCGTGTCCCCACAGCAACCCGGGCACACGTGTGGGCTCCATCTGCTCCCAGACACCCGCACTGAACACCGAGGGAAGGGACCCTGCTCGTGACCGAGCAGCACCCACCGGCCGCCTGCCGACCACCCGGAGAAGCGAATGCAACGTGAGACGTCCCGCTAAGGGCCTGGCCAGAGCTGGGTGCTCCTGGTGCTCCCGGCTCTCTGGACGCCGGGTAAACCCCAGTCGTGGTGACTGAGGGGCACAGTGCCCTCATCTCAGCACGGGAATGACCTCGTACAGTCTCTTGGGTCACCTGACCCCCCGCAGCCGTGACACCTGCGTGACATGTCGTGTTCACATCCTGGCACGGCCGCCCGCGGTCTGTGCGGCTCCTCTCCCTGCACACAAAGCTCCTAACTGCCCACACCGTGTCCCCCGGGGTCCGACCCCACGCAGGCCACTGGGCAGTGGCAGGCACTCTGCTGCACAAAGCCCCGGCCACAGCCCGCACACCGACCCGCTCCACCCGTGAAGCAGGGCACGTGCCGCAGCCCTTGCGCCTCCTCCGTAAGATGCAGAGCAAGGGTCTGGGGCTTAGGGTGCAGATGCCACCACGGCGTACCCCAGCCCGTCTGCCTGCTTCTGTGGCTAAGTCCGCTAGGGCGCTAGGTCTCCCTGTCCTCACCTTCGCTTCCCGGGCCACACGCCCCGCATGCCCAGGCTCCAGGCTGTGCCCACTCAGGAGCTCCCCGTGGCCTGCGGGCGCGCCCCTCCGTACACACACGGGGAGACGCCGCTCACAACCACTCAGGACAGACTGTCCCACACACTGTGACCATCACTACCTTAGAACTTTAAGACAATAAAAAAATCACTTTCGACCACAGACAACTGGCCTATTACGGAACTGACAGCTGAACAGAAATATCCTCTAAAAAATGGGATTACCTCAGATTGCTTTCATCCATACACAGTATATAATCAAATGTGGCAAAGTCTTCCTTGGTAACCTAAAATTAAACAAGAAGTCAAAAACAGTGTTTATGTTTGTAACAATGGCCTAGAGGCTCCAAAGCAGCACACACATGAAAATTTGCTATATTTGAATTTCTTACTTAAGTTAAATGATTTAGGGTATTTTAAACTTAAAATAGAGTTGACCTATTTTGTCATATCATACTGTAAAGAAATGTTCTATTATCAAGTTCCCTGGAATAACCCCAACAGCCTAACACGTAAGCACAAAGTCTGACTTCACCCATAATTCTCGGTAACGAGTATAATTCACCGAACGTATCAAATGTCATGCTTAACCCCCTTCGTCTCCGCCTTCCTCGTCCGTCGTCCCTGGTGACACACGCTCCCTCCCGGGCAGGACAGCTTTGCACCCGCGGCCGTGGACACCAGGCCGAGCCAGGTGCAGGGGCGTCGGGGGAGCCGGGGTGGGAGGCAGGTGCTCACGGAACGGCCGCCGAGGACCTGGACGCGTGGCCGTCTCCCCGAGGACACGCCATGTGAACACGACGCAGGAGGCCACTCGGTATTTTTACTGATTCTAACCTGAGAACTTACCAGGTCTCCGACATCATGACTTAGCAACATAAACCCACTAAAACGTAAGGGGGAGCATTATTTTATGATTCCTGGCTATTATAAATAAGGAGAGGCCACATAGCGAAGGTGGAAATAATTTCGCACAATGTAAGTTTTCAATAATGATCTCCGTCACTAAGAAATAATTTAAAATATAAGAGCACCAGGAAACTAGGAAGGATGCGGAAACCCTGGCTAACCAGAGTGAGGACGCTGTTCATGACGTCAGCGTCGGGGCGTCTGGGGGGCTCAGCGGCTGAGCGGCTGCCTCAGGCTCAGGTCATGACCCTGGGGCCTGGGTCCCCTGTGTCGGGCTCCCTGCTGGGGGGGGGGGGAGAGTCTGCTCCTCCCACCACCCCTCCCCCTGCTCGTGCATCGGCTCTCACTCGCTCTCTCTCTCTAATACAAAAACAAGTCTTTATAATAATCAGTGTAGCAAACAAATGATAAATACACTCATCATTCTGTTAAAAACGTAACTTGTGCTCTTCAAATGTACGTGCGTGAGTTCTTAATGCAGCACGTTCATCAGGTGCCGAGGACCGTATCCTTTAGCACTCCCGAGGTGCTAGCTCATTCAACATCTATTAGAGCCAGGCCATGAGCTATTTCCCCAAAACAGCTTATGAGAGACATCCCAGGATCAACTATTAACAATGTTTTTACGGTCTTAGAATTACTACAATTATGGACCGTAAGACGGTCTTAGAACTGAGAGCATGTGAGAAGCGCATGTGATGTTTAGATCACAGTAAGAGCAGCTATGACCAGGCCCTACGAGAGGGCCGAGGGAAGGCCCCACGCCGAACAAGCCACGACTTGCTGGGGCAAGCCAGCTCCGCGCCGGAGAGGAGAGCTCGCCGCCTCGGAGCCGAGCGCGTGTGAAGCCGTGAGTGTGCCGCCGGGAGGGCACGGCCTGGGGGGCCAGAACCCCAGCGGGAGCCCCCACGGGCAACATGTACCTTAACATCGAAGGTTCCTGGCAACTCAGAAGAGGAAAGACAACAGCGAACCTTAATTACTCTGTCCAAGTCCACCGGTCGCCTGACACTGAAGGGATCCCGTCCTCACGTCACAGACACGGGGGGATCCGAGGTGGGAACTCTCCAAGAGGGGGCCCACCAGCAACGTCACGGTGGAGAGGAGCGGGGTGCTCCCACCAGCATGTGCAGAGACCAGAGACGCGGCCAGACCCCACGGTGCCCAGGGCCGCCCCACGCACGGTCAGCAGCGCCCGGGCGGAGACCGTGCTCCGGACGCGGGGAAGCCCGGGCAAGGTGCTGCTGCTGGAGCAGAGAAGCTCCAAAGGCCCACCCGCAACCTCACAGGCTGCAGGGACCGGCCACGGGAGCGGGGTCTGGCACACACCAGCCTCCTGTCAAAGCATCTGCCCCTGCCTCACCCGCTCAGGGCACCCAGGGGGGAGCAGCTGCTGAAGAGGACGCCGGCCGGGCCACGCCACAGGCCCTCAGAGGGGCTCCGGGCAGGCTGTGCTAGGACGGAGCCCAGGCCGACAGGCCAAGCCTCAGAGCCATGGCCCGCAGGGGAGACGGAAAACGGAGAACTTTCCAGAACTGATGGAAACCGTCAAGGTGCATATTCAGGAAGCACGCTTGGCCTACCATACAGGACTGCTGGAAAAAATCCAAAAGAGAAACCTAAAGGCTGCAGAGAAAGTGAGAGCAATTTCAGGAACGGAGACAATGGAATCGATGAATCCGGCCAAATTCTGAAAGCAGAAACACTAGCGATAATCAACAAACTTAACAATTTTACCTGACTGGTTTTATGAGGCCACAGAACCGTGACGTGTGTGTATGCCCCGCGTGTGTGGCCCCTGGTGTGTATCCCCCTGACAGGTGTGTGACCCCGGGTGTGTATCTCCCCTGACACCTGTGTGACCCCGGATGTGTATCCCCCCAACAGATGTGTGACCCCAGGTGCGTATCCCCGACAGGTGTGTGACCCTGGGTGTGTATCCCCCTGACACGTGTGTAAATCCCCCCTGACATCTATGTGACCCTAGGTGTGTATCCCTGACACCTGTGCGACCCTGGGTGTATATCCCCCTGACATGTGTGTGCCCCTGGGTGTGTATCCCCCTGACATGTGTATCCCCCCCGACATGTGTGTGACCCCGAGTGTGTATCCCCGACACCTGTGTTACCCTGGGTGTGCATCCCCCCGACACAGGTGTTCATCCCAAGTGTGTGCCCTGGGTGTGAGCCCGACAGGACTGCCCACAGGCGCTCCCCACACGCGGCACGGTGCTTACACGCACCCAGCGGGAAGCGGCAGCCTCTGACGCCCAGGGTGGAGGAAGCAGCTAGCGGGACCAGAAGCAGATCCTGGAAGCAGCCGTCACGGGCACAGCGGAGTGTCACCAAGGGAGAGCTGACCCAAAGGGCACACTCTACAGGATTCCGCAAAGGTACAAAGGCAGAAAGAATCCGGGTGGTGACCTCGGGGTGGAGGCAGCGGTCCTCGCCCAAGAACCCGCTGACCGCCCGTCAGGCGTCACACAGAAGAACCAACCTATCAACAAAGGAAACATCTCCACGGACCTGACTGACGTGCAGTCACACACCCAAGCCCAGAACGAAGCACCCTAAAGATATTTTACTTGTTAACCCAGGTTTAAAGTATCAGGAAAACCAAAATTTTAAGAAATACAACAGAACAGTTCTCATACACACTGTGACAACCGCTAAGGAGAAAGCCTGTAAAGATGCCAAAACATAACAAAGATCTGAAATTATACTTTTTTTAAGACCTGTGTATTTAAAATAACTCAATTGTACTCAAGTTATATGCCTGTGTACAAAAAAATAATCCAATCTCAAAAATACAAAACCTGAAAGCCTGACAGCTTGAAATCACAAACTACTACTCAGAATAAATCCACGTCCTCTAAACCGCTGGAAGTAGAACTGGGCGAGGTGTGCAAACCCTGGAGACTGGGGCCGTGATCTCGACCGTGTCCTATTCCGCCCAATGAGAATCACGTAAGGGAAAGTCAGGCCTCCGGGGAGTTCACTTACACGGGTAGTTAGCCGACAGTCAGCTGACAGCCAGAAATGGGAAGTTCACAGGTTCCAGAGTAAATTTATCTAAGCCAAAATGACGTGCGCATTAGTAGCTGCTGAGACGTCGTTAGCGCAGCAGAAGTGTTTCTGTGGCACTTCCGTGAACGTTCCGGCTCACACCCGTACGTGCCTTTATCACAACAAACAAGCCAATGGTCAAAGCCCGGTTCCCCCACCTGGAGGCCGGGTGACCTGTGATGGGCCGTGTATTTTCTCTCCAGAACTGTTTCTCCCCGATCAAAACACGTTTACCCACTACCCCCCCTTCCCTAACAAGGTAAAGGAGAGGACAAAAAGTGATAGGATCAAAAATAAAAATAGAGTGCCGCGCGGCAAAGCAGTTGGGAAACCTTCAGCAGAGAGCTGCTTTAAGGTAACGGTGATCGGTCTCCGTCCAGTCTGACGCAAAGGTCTCCTCTAACACTCAGTCGCGGTTCCCACGCTGCCAGCCGCGCTTCTACGTACGTAATACACCTGACAACTGATCTTAAAAGCACTCGGCAGCTTCTCACTTCAGAGGCCCCAAAAGCTCCTCACTGGACACGGCCTGTGGTTTCCGAGGCCAGTCCACAGCCCTGCAAGGCCTACGGAGCCTGTACGCCGTGTTAGGCTGGATACAAAAGAAGTTACGAGATTTAGCCAGGTTTCTTTTTTAATTTTTTTTTAAAGACTTATTTATATTAGAAAGAAAGTGAGAAAAAAAAAAAAGAAAAAGAAAGAAAGTGAGCAAGAGAAGGGGCAGAGGGAGAGAGAGGGCGAGCAGCAGACTCCCGCCGAGCAGGGTGCCCAACGCAGGGCTCACTCCCAGGACCCTGAGATCGTGAGCACCATGACCGGAACCAAAATCAAGACTCAGATGCTGAACCAAGGGAGCCACCCACAGCCCCAACCAGATTTTTAAAACCATCCAACCAAGTTCCATAAAATAAGGATACTGATGATGAAGGAACTCCCCTCGCAGAACAATATCTGAAGCATTCTGCACAGATATGCACAGAAATGACGCAGCCTTAGGGGCAGCCCGGGGCTACGGGAGGCGCCACCGCCTTGGCGCTCTCGGTGCTTCTGCAGGATCTCAGAGCTGCGCAGGCACTAACATGCTTACCAGTTCCAGGCGGCCTCGTACGTAAGTTAAAACGTAAACCCGGCTCCTCTGCCGTATTTCAAACGTCCAACGGCCCACTGGCTTCTCACGGAACAGAGCGGACGCAGCGCACCTTCCTACCCCAGAATGTCCCGTGCAGCACTCCAGAATCCAGACCCCAGGTCCACTTGCTGGGAGCAGGCTGTGCACCCAGAGTATCAGCGCGACCCTCCAAGACCCTTCACAAGTGAAAATACAGTTTTGAACATGTTACAGAACTTCATTCTACCAACAGACTTGTAACGTGAGCAGACTCGCCCCCAGGGCTCACACGTTTCAATCACGCAGGGACAAATGAAAAAGGAGATTATAACCCAGGTCTCCAGCTCGTAGGCAGGGCTCTCACCAGTACCCGCATGTGATTATAACATTCTAATCAGCAAATTCCAAGGTGGTGCCTGTCTTCTCAACTGTGGAACCAGCAGTGAAACAGAACGGGCAGCCGGTGGCCATGAAAACGGACCCGGGACAGGCACGCATGAGCACGTCAGTGTGGCTGAGCTCACCGCTTCTCAAGTTAGGGGCTCCAGTATTGGAAATTAAATGAGATCTCTTCTACCTGTCGTGCTTTATGGGCTGTGTTAATGCCATGATTTCTGAGGCAGCACAGAGCTCTCGGATCTGGCGACCGGCCCACGTTCCAGTCAGAAACAGCGCCGCTGTCAATGACCCACTGCAACAGAGAACACACGTGTGCACTTTCAAGTTCCAGTACAGTACCTGCCGGGCAATGTGATTCATGGGGATACCATGCTTCTTCATGCAACTCTGCCCTCGATAATCAGGAGGGTTTCCTATTTCATACGTGGATGTCGCTGCACTGTCTATCCTCCACTGTAGGAGAAAAAAAGAATTTTTTTTCGCCATTTCCTGCCCCGAGGCAGCCAGGCTGGCCTCTTCAACACACAGAACCGTACTTACGTTATCTGAAAGCTTTTGATCAGTGACGAGTTTTCTGAAAACGGCTTCTGCAATGGGTGACCGACAGATGTTACCTTAAAAAAAGGGGAAAGCAGAGAGGGGGTGTCAGGTTTAATGCTCCGCGGCCACTTCACCGGTGTCAGCAACGTGAGGTGTCAGCATGCACACCTGGGGATGCTGGCCCGACCCGCGCTCCAAGACCTGGCACCAGCTGCCCAAGGACTCCAACAACAAGTAACTAAGACATAAGAAAAACAAAACAACCCAAATCATCGTTTTTCAGGGTTGCTATCGGTGACCCGAGGTAACTCATGTAATCGACGAAGCGGGCTGCAACACGCCTATTTTAAAACAAAGTAAAACAGGGTTAGAAATACGTATTTTTAAGTATATTGCACGTAAGGATGAACACTGTTTCATAAAGTACACGAACGCATCCCACCAACAGTAGCTCAACACAGACTTTCAGGGCGCAATCTGCTGGAGTCCGCCTGCTGAATTAGGGTGCTGCCCTGCAGGTCACCCAGAGCTTCCCACATGGGCTGCGAGTTCCGGGACTCCCCAGGACCACCCTCTCTGCTAGAGGTTCAACAACTCTCTAGAAGAGAAAAAAATGAAGAAAATGCAAGGCTCGGGATTATAGTTTTATCATAACCAAAAAGATTCAAAGCAGAATCAGCCAAAGTCAGAAAGCACGGCGAGATTCTGGAAGTCTCCAACCTGAAGCTTTCTGGTCCTATGACACGTGTGACCCTCTCGTCATCCACGTGGGACAAAATACTCAGGGAACTGCCGACCCAGGATGCTCCCCGGGGCTCCGGAGCCAGGGGAGTTCCATCACGCAGGCGTGGATATGGGATTATGCCGAACTGACTGCAGCCGCCCCAGCCCCAATGTGTGGCTCACCCTCCAGGCATGGACTACGTGAGGACCCCTTGGAACAACAAACCACTGTCATCCTAAGGACTAGGCTAAAAGCATGAACAAGATGAGAAAACTCCTCACCAGAAAAAAAGGAAGAGGAGTTGACCTCTTAGGAAGAGGACTTACTGGGCGGCTGTATCACTAAGAGAACAATCAACGTGTGCTGGTGGGTCTGGTGGGCGCAGCCCTAACTTCCCAGCGGGAGGGGGATGTTCTAAGACACAGGAGCCAGGACACTTCCCACAAACGGCTACAGGCCTAGAGAGCCTGGAACGAAAGGGGAGACTCGCTATGGGGGCAACGCAGAGCACCCAGGGCGTCGAGGGAGCCGCGTTAGGCAGACACGGTCACCTCTACTCATCTGGAATCTTCGGGTTTGTGATAGGCACGGGGCACCGGATCTTCTGAGGTGTGAACACAACTGATGCCCTGGTAGGTGAGCCCAACACCGGCTTTACCACAGTATTCTTCAGTTCGCACTTTAGTCTTAGGCCTTATAATATATTTATAAACCACAGAGGTTGCGGTTTCCACAGCAGTGAAGCTTATCAACCACTCAACTGCGACAGGGAACACGGGAATGAGTCCTCGATGTCCTCTATGAGCTAGTTTGTGTTGTAACATTTCTCCTTAAGACATTCTGGATTCTTGTTTGGTTTTTAAAATAAGTATTATCATCCCTACTATGTGAATCACTGAAAAGGTCCTGACGACGTATAATTGCTTTATCTGTCCCCGTACACCCTGGGAATACTTTATCTGCCACCACTCTCTTCACTTTAAGACCACTGTTATTATTCTGAAACTTCAGAATAGATGCTTACAATCTCACATCTAAAGACATAATAAGGGCAGCCCGGGTGGCTCAGCGGTTTAGCGCCGCCTTCAGCTCAGGCCGTGATCCTGGAGTCCTGGGATCGAGTCCCACATCGGGCTCCCTGCATGGAGCCTGCTTCTCCCTCTGCCTGTGTCTCTGCCTCTCTCTCTCTCTCTCTCTCTGTCTCTCATGAATAAATAAATAAAATCTTAAAAAAAAAGACATAATAAAAAGACTAGTCTCATCTCTTTACAAATAATTAACTACAAAATAACAGCTCAGATTCCCCACAAGACAAAAACTAGGATTATTTACTGCCTTAAAGTCAAGCCATATTCATCCACACTGACTTTTTTCCCAGATAGTTGTATTTACCGCAAGATGTATGTGTAAATATAGACGGGAAAAAATTCACTACTGCAAAAATTAGAAGTCAAGTCATACTACTGACAAAATTAGCGGAATCCTGCTTCTCCATAACTTGCTCTCTGGATTTCAAAAGCTGCTATCACTAAATTAAGGCATTATTAAAAATGGAGCTCATAAGTAAAACACAGGGCAGCCCGGGTGGCCGGGTGGCTCAGCGGTTTAGTGCCACCTCCAGCCCAGGGCCTGACCCTGGAGACCTGGGATCGAGTCCCGCGTCGGGCTCCCTGCATGGAGCCTGCTCCTCCCTCTGCCTGCGTCTCTGCCTCTCTGCCCGCCCCCCTCTCATAAATAAATAAATAAAATCTTAAAAAAAAAAAAAAAAAAAGCAAACCACGGTGCTTCAGGTTTACCTGTGGAAAGCTGTAAGAACTTAAAGTGTCATCTGCAGACTTCTTTAGAAAAAAAGCTCAATCTGTGAAGTCTCCTGCTTGCTTTTTTCCAAATTAGGCAGCATATTACATCCTTACCCAACACCTGTACTCCAAGGGCTGAGACGCACAAAAGGAAAAAATGACATTCTCCAAGGGTAGGGACAGTGTCTCCTACGTTGGGCAGCACCCCTCACAATGGGCAGCACAGAGGAAGTATCAACAAATCAGTTGTAAGAAAGAGGTCATCTGACCTCACTAATCCATTATCTCTTCCAACCACGCTGGAAGCACCGGGGCCTTCAACAGTTGAGTGTATCTCTTGGGCACGAAAACACAAAACCCTCAATAATCCTGCCAAAATAAGGAGCGCGGTTCTTTCCCGCCACCAGCCTTACCAACAGAAAACATCGGACACTCCGGTCTGAAAAGGACCCAAATAAATGCTCTGAAGGAATGTAGTTTTCACATTTCAAAGATACACCATTCTTGGGGATCCCTGGGTGGCGCAGCGGTTTGGCGCCTGCCTTTGGCCCAGGGCGCGGTCCTGGAGACCCGGGATCGAATCCCACATCGGGCTCCCGGTGCATGGAGCCTGCTTCTCCCTCTGCCTGTGTCTCTGCCTCTCTCTCTCTATCTGTGTGACTATCATAAATAAATAAAAAAATTAAAAAAAAAAAAAAAAACAAAGATACACCATTCTTAGCGCTCTGTGTCGGGCGTTCGTGCGAAAAGGCATTCGTCGACTCCTGGCACCTGCCCAGAATCTGACCCCTCAGCCCCCCACCCGCGATGCTCTCGGATCCAGCACACACTCCTCTGCACCCCTGGCCTCACCCCCGCCCAGTCTAATCTCAAAACAGCAGCTGAACACCTCTCTCTAAATGTCCCAGCTCCGCTCAATGGCTTCATCCTCCAGCGGATTACCTCCTCCAGGGTGAGCCCGGGCCCTCACGTGGCCTCACCAGACAGGTCTCTGTAGACCCTAAAACGGCATCTGACAACTATGACCCGTGGCTCCCTCCGTGTACAGTCCACAGAACCAGGAATAATTTTTACCTTTTAAATAAAACTGGAAAAACTCAGAAGTAGAATAAGATCTGGCAGCATGAGAAACTCACATGGAATCCAAACTGCAGCGCCCATAAATAAAGTCATACTGGGACACGGCCCAGCATTGCTGTTTATGTGTTGTCTGGGTCTGCTTTTGCAAAGCACCAAATATTTACTTTCTGGTTCTTTACATAAGGAGTTCAGCGTCCTGCCCCGGAGCACTCGTTTCTTGTAAGGAATAGCTTCCCCGCGCATCCGGGATAGCTTGTCATGCATTCGCGGTGGCGTTGAGAAAGCAGGCACTGAGACCACCCTGGAGTCTCCAGGTACAGAGGAAGGTGTGGCTGGGAACGGCTACTGGGTCTCGAGGCCAGGCCAGTGGTCTCCCTCCAGCATGAACAGGACCGGCACTGCTGTTTCAAGGCCGGTCACCCACTTTCTTCGGGGCCCGGGATGCTCTTCCGGAGACCCAGGGCTTGCTTTCTGTGCCTCAAGTCTTTGCCCCAGCGTCACCCTGCAGGTAAGGCCACCCCGACCGTCCCACCTAAGAGCGCTGCATTCCGCGCCCACCCGCTTCCCTGCCCTACAGTCCTTGACACAGTATCAACTTGTGAGGTCACCAAGGGCTCGGGTGTGAACCCGAGCGCTGTGGAGGCAGCCACTTTGCGTTGCTCCGTCGCCCTGGCACCGAGAAGGCGGCCTGGTACTACAGCTCGTGCTGACACGGATCACTGCGCCCAACACCAACACACGCGCCACACGTCGCCCGAGAACGAGCACCGCGGGGGCGATGCCCGCAGAACCGGCGACACCAGGCCTGCCAGACCCCAACGGGAACCCGCTGCCCTTTAATCACCGCGGGTTGCGGGCGCCAGCCTTCATCCGAGAGCTCCAAAACCAAGGGATGGCCGCCCCCAAGGTGAGACGAGGTGGCCCTTCTGCTTTCCCCTCGTCAGCAGGCTGAGCAGGGGAGAGGTAGCCCGGCGTGGACAGGACTGAGCGGGTAAGGGGGACCCGGGGCACAGGGAGGCCAGCAGGGGAGAGGGGACCCGGCCTGCAGAGCCCGCAGGTCAGAGGGGGCCCGTCGCACAGGGAGGGCCTGGCAGGTGAGAGGGGACCCCGAGTGGACAGCGGGCAGGTGAGCGGGGACGCGGGCAGGTGAGCGGGGACGCGGGCAGGTGAGCGGGGACGCGGCCTGGGGCGCGGGCAGCAGGTGCGCCGCGCGGAGGGGAGCCTGCGGGGTCCGTCGCACCGTCCGCCCCCCCCCCCGCCGTCCCCGGTCGGGCGCAGCAGCACAGCCCGGACCCCCCCCCCCCGGGAGAGCCCGCCCGGGGCCGGGGCGCGCCGCCTCACCGAGACACACGAACAGCACGGACTTGGACACCTGCTCAGCCATCTTCCCGCGCGCACAGCCGGGCGCCCACGGAGCGCGTCGGGACGTTTCCTGCGCGACGCATGCGCACCTCGAGGGCCCCGCCCCGCGCGCCTGCGCAGGACGCCCTCAGCCGCCCCGGGGGCGAGCGCTTCGGCCTTGCGCCTGCGCAGTACTGAGACGGGGTCGTAGTCGTCCGGAGGACGGAAGGGGCGCCGCGGGGGCGGGGCGAGGAGCTGGGGGGCGGGGCGAGGAGCCGGGGGGCGGGGCGAGGAGCGGGGGGCGGGGCGAGGAGCCGGGGGCGGGGCGAGGAGTCTGCAGGCGGGCGGGGGGCCAGTGAGCGACCCCGGGGGGCGGGGTGGTGAACGGGTGCCCGGGGTCGGGGCGCTGGGCCCGGGGGTTCGGGGGTGAGCGGAGCCCCACGGAGGGCGGCACCCCCGGGGACCCGAGCCCCCGCCCCCCGCCCGTCCGGGCCTGCCCGGGTCCCGAAGTCGGGAGCCTTGGAGGCCCCGGGGCAGCGCGGGGCGGGGGGGCCTTCGGGGTCGCCGGGGCCGGCTGGGTCCCGAGGACGCGGGGGCGGGCGGCACCTGCCCCTCACCTGCCCCTCACCTGCCCCTCACCTGCCCCTCACCTGCCCCTCACCTGCCGCAGGTGTGCGCCTGCCCGGGGAGGCGGGGCCGCGGGAGCGCCCTTCCTGTTCCCGGGCAGGTGTCGGCGGCGGCGGGGGCGCGAGTGAGTAGGGGTGCGGGCGGCCGGGCCGCAGGGCGGGGGCGCGGGGCGCGGGGGGCGGGGGGCGGGGGGTGCCCCCGAGGTCGCCGGGCGGCCGGGCCCCGGGGAGCCTCCTGGGCGGGGAGGCCTGGGCGCGGACGGGGCGGGCCGTGGGCGGCTGGGCCCGGGCTGCAGTGTCCTCCTCGGCTTCGGCAAAGGCCCCGCCCGGGCCCCTGCCCCTGCCCCGGGAGTCGGAATCCCTGGGACCCAGAAAGTTCTCGGAGGAGGGGTTTCCCCCGCCGGGGAGCGTGCAGGCCCCGGTTCCTGTTCTCGGGAATGTCCCTAGTGGGACCCGCAGCCGGGAACCGGGAACCGCAGGTGCAGCGCGGCTGCCCAGCTGTTTGCACACTACCATGCTGGAGGTTAGAACGATCCAGATAAGCTCCGATCTCCATCCTGCTCGCCCTGTTTAAAGTCAGGAGGACTGGCTGTTTGTTTTGCGATCGCCCTATTAAAGTTTCCATAAAACGAGAAAATAGGAACCTCGTCGTCTGTCAGATTAAAACCAGACATCTCTGCTCATCCAGTGACTGGAAGCCTTTATTCCACTTAGTGCCGACTCTCAGGAGAGCTCTCGCTATTCGGGAGTAGGATGTGGTGCTTCAAAAGCAAGGCTGGTGCGGGCCGGAGGGAAGGAAGCGGGGCGGCCGCCCTGCCCAGAAGTCCTTCTGCCTGTCTCCTTGTTTGCAGGTGTGTCATGGTGACACGTGACCCTACGCAACTGAAACCCTAAGCACAGTGACCTTTCTGTTTTCTCTGGGAAGAGTCCATGCTCCACAGCAGATGACCAGGCTGGAGGGGCAGGTGTAGCCCCGCGCCGAGCCAGGGTCACTCTCTAGTTTGGGAAAAGATAAAGTGAGCGTAAATCAAGGTTCTTCTTATGCTGACACTTAAGTGCTCACCACTCCCTCCTCCCTGTCCCACATCTGCAGCCCCGGGTCAGGGGGAGGAGACGAGTGGCACAGGACGTGCTAATTTGGGGCTCCAATGGCCAGTCTGGTTTCAGGTTTGGACTCTGAAGGCTGCTAATATGACCAGAGAGACCGGTTTTGATTTCTGGAACTGACAAGCTTGGTCCCCTTGAGTCAAAGGAAGTGGTTACACCATGGCCACAGAAAGATAAGAATCCACTTAACAAACAATGTCCGGGGCAGCCCGGGTGGCTCGGCGGTTTGGTGTCGCCTTCAGTCCAGGGCCTGATCCTGGCGTCCCAGGATCAAGTCCCGCGTTGGGCTCCCTGCATGGAGCCTGCTTCTCCCTCTGCCTGGGTCTCTGCCTCTCTGCCTCTCTCTCTGTGTCTCTCATGAATAAATGAATAAAATCTTAAAAAAAAGAAAGAAAGAAACAATGTCCATAGTTGTCAGGCAGTGGTGCTCAAGACAGGAATGTTCTAAAAAGCTTCTGAGCTAAGGGCAGTATGTCAAAATCTAAAAAATTACACAGATGGCCAAAGTTTCTTTTATCTTCACTAAGATTTAATCTGTTTATTCTATGTATTTCCTTAGCAATGTCTAGTTCTTTTGATTTTGGTTGGAGTTTCATCAATTCAGTGAACTAGCTTTTATTTCATGTAAGTTCTGAGGCTTAGTAACTTGGTTAATATCTAATTAACGTGCATTTAGAAAACGGTTTCTAAATTTCTAGGCTTTTCCTGTAGGTACCTCTCTCGTAGTCAGGCATCCACTGAGGAAGCGTATAATGGACGCTTGTTGATACGAGGGAAAGTCTGGGAAGCCCCGGCGCTGAGTGATGGGGGAGGCTTGACGGGGTCAGTTTCTCTGCCAAACCCTAGGTTATTGCCCGTGATCAGTATGTAAATTATTTCCACAACTTAAGCTCCTTTCAAGCTTTTGAGGTTTCCAAAGTAAAAATTTTCTTCCCTGTATTTTAGAAAGTCTTAATTAAAAAAAAAAAGTTTTAGTATAGACATTTTCAAATGTTTTAATCACTTTTTTTTGTATATTTTTTTATTGGAGTTCGGTTTGCCAACATACAGTACAACCCCCAGTGCTCATCCCGTCCAGCGCCCCCCTCGGTGCCCATCACCCAGTCACCCCCCCCACCCACCTCCCCTTCCACCACCCAGAGTTAGGAGTCTTTATGTTCTGTCTCCCTTTCTGATATTTCCCACCCATTTTCCCTCCTTTCCCCTTTAATCACTTTTTAAAGAAAATTTTAAGCTAAGTTTCTTAGCTTGAGATTTGGCAGGCGTGGACTCTCAGGCGGAAACTCAAATATTCTTAGAGAATTTGCTTTGCCTTGGGATTCAAGAGACTCAAGGCTTTTATGAATGTTGCGATGCTGATCGTGACTTAAGGTTGAAAAGCTTCTTTAGTGATGACCTGCATCTTCACAGCTTCAGTCACACGACGATGCCGGCGTTCTGGCCAGACTGTGCCCTCCACACCCCCTGCGGCACAGCAGAGGACGGCGCGTGAGCTGTGATTCGATGCTGAGGACAGGAGCTGAGGCTAATATCTAAATTGTTATTATTATTCGTTGGCTCTGACGGAGAAATTCACCATATATAACTATGACCAGGCAATATGATTTTATCAGAAATTTTTTAAAAATATGTGGTATTAAAACAAATTATCTAGCGCCTTGTACAGTTCGGCCGAGCGCGGAGGCATCCTGACCGCGACCAGGCTCGTGAACCCAGGTGCAGTGACAGGGTTTAGACACGGCCCTGTGGTGTGCAGGCGCTGTGGGCTGCATCTGAATTCCCAAGCCCAATAGCCCCCTTCCCGTGTTTACAGAAAGGGCTGCGACCTTTCCCCACAGCAGGATGTTTGCAATAGCAGCTCTCAACTGTGGAATTTGCTTATTTGACTGGTTCAGTTCTGCTTGCTTGATAGGGTTCACAGCAGAAAGTCTTCGGGGCTAAGATTTATGTACTATTTACTAAGTTTTAGTTGCATGTGTCAGAAAATCTGATCCAAATTGGCTTTAGCAGAAAAGGAAAACATGCTGGTCCAAGTGTGAACAGTCCCGGAGCTGCTGGGGCTTCAGCTGTTGCCACATCCTGCGCTCCAGCAGGGCCTGCAGAGCCCACATTGTCTCTGCAAGTCTTGTCAAATGCCCTTCTGCGTGGCTTTGCTCTCAGGCTCTCCTCCTGCGGTGACAAAGTCGTGTAGCAAGTCCAAACGGAAGCGCCTGGGGAGGAGGACTTCTGGCAGCATCGCACAAGCGTTGATGAGGTGCTGGTAGGTCGGCTTTGGCTGGAGTTCTGCTGTGGCCCAAGATCTGCCCTGACTCGCCCACTTGGGTCGCCCGCTCCCTTGCAGGGGCGGCATCACTGCAACAGGCAGACTGTGCTGGTTCTGAAATAAGCCACAGATATGCAGCAGCAGAAGGAGCACATTGCTGCTACAGTTTTCTAATCCAATTCAGTAAGTTGTTCTGAGCATCCACACGCACGAAAGGGCACTGCAGAGATGGGTGAGAGGTGCTGCTTCTGGCCTTAAGGGTTGTAGTTCACTGGTGGACAAACAGCATTGGGAACACAAAGGAAGTCGGAAGAAAAGACAGTTGGGTGGGGGTGAGCCTCAAATCACAAACTCAAGTGCTGAAGATATGAAGACGTATCACGAGCGCTTATTTTCTACCAAGTTGGGCTCTCTTCGTCCTCCCCGGAGGCCGTCATGTCTCAGGCTGACGCCAGGTCTGGGCTAGCGCCGCCCGCTTGGACTTGCTTTGGTCTCCGTTACTACTAGTCCTGTCGCTGCTGCCCTGCTGCCCCTTGCTGCACTCACAAGGCCCTGGCAGTCCACCCCATAGTGCAGCAGCAAGTCCCGCCTGCAAGCAGAGCTGCTGGGCCTGCTGCGCCCCTGGGCTGACAGGAGCCTTGTGGGGTGAGCCTCATTGGCACTGGGCTTGCGTGAGGCTGGAGCACCGGGCTCCTGGCAACCAGACCTCCTTGGGTTTCCTTCTCTTTTTCAATCTCTCTTTCTTTAGAGGACCTGGAAAGGACTCCACTGGGCGCTACTTGTCAGCTTGTCCCTGGCTTCCCTCTGGCCCTCCTCTCTCGTAAGACCTGGGAAATATTACAGAGTCCAAGAGCCAGAGAAATTTTGCTATTACTCAGCACATTTCCTCCTAAACCCACTGGATTTCATATATAAATGGACTCTGCTAGTCCTCACAGGGATTTGACCTTTAATTCCCCAAAGGCACACAATAGCTTTTTCATCTAACACGTGTGCTGGGCACCTAACTCTGTGTCATTATGGCATGTGCTGGAGATATTACGGTGAAGAAAACAAAATAGTCCACGTGCTTACCCCCATGGAGCTTATATTGCTGTGAAGGAGATGAGCACGAAGGACCATGATAGATATGGCGGATGGAGAGATCTGACAGATGGAGAGATATGATGGATGGATAAATAGATATGGCAGATGGACAGACATGACGGATGGAGAGACATGAGGGATGAAGAGATATGATGGATGGAGAGATATGTTGGATGGATAGACATGATGGATGAAGAGATATGATGGGTGGAGAGACATGATGGATAGACAGGACAGATGGAGAGATGATAGATGGAGAGACATGACAGATGGAGAGATATGATGGATGGATAAATAGATATGGATGGATAAATAGACATGATGGATAGACATGATGGATGGATAGGCATGATGGGTGAAGACATGACAGATGGAGAGACAAGACAGATGGAGAGATATGGATGGAGAGACATGACGGAGAGACATGACATATGGAGATATATGGATGGAGAGACATGACAGGACAGATGGAGAGATATGGATGGAGAGATATGATGGATGGAGAGACATGATGGAGATATGTGGATGGAGAGATATGGATGGAGAGACATGACGGAGAGACATGACATATGGAGATATATGGATGGAGAGACATGACAGACAGGACAGATGGAGAGATATGGATGGAGAGACATGACAGATGGAGAGATATGATGGATGGATAGACAT